AAGGAGTAGCTTACAGCTCTAGCGATTATACAGATTGCATTAGTTAAGGACTTAGTTTTTGTGTTTCTTTAACTTCAATTGGTTTTCTCTTTAAAATTTCTACTAAGAATACTTAGAAAAGACCTGGGACTATTCAAGTTTTTATTTAAGAGAAAACCTTCCCCACTGAATTAATTTTAAAAGGACAGGAAAAGACAAACTAAAGAAGGTTTTTACTTCCATGCATGAGTTGTGTTTATTCAAACGAAACGTCAAAGGGAGGAGCCAGAAAACAATAAAGATGATGCAGTAAACAGACGGAAAAGTGCTTCAAAGGGGGAAAAACAGGTCACATAGAAAGGATCAGGAATAAGAATAAAACCGAACTTCCCAACCATGGAAGCTAGAAGCAATGTCTTTAGATTTATGAAGAAAAATAGTTTCTATCTAGAGTTCTATGCCCAACGTGGTAGTTAAGGTTGTGTGTCAACCTGGCTGGGCCATGACTTTGAGTAGCTTGGCAGCTGGGTGCAGTTATTCACCATGATGAGACTGGATATGGTGTGATCACCTCCATGGTGAAATTTGCTGTGACATGTTTATCAGTGGAAAGGGAGTTGCCTTTGGGGTGTGGACTGCTGCCGGTATATATGGAAGAGTTTTGAGAAAGGTCTCGAGATTTTTGGCACATCTGGATCCTGCATTTGGCTGACTCTTCAGCTCTAGTTCCTGGACTTGAACCAATGGCCTACAGTGTTGTCTGCTGATGTTGGGATTGTGCCATTTTACCTGTTGACCTTGGGTTTGTCAGCCTCAGCAGCTAGCAGCTGTCTGAGTTAGGAGATGCCTCTAGCTCCTGTGGGACTAGAGTAACAGGCAGAGCCGAAGCCCAAGGTCAAGAGGCCTTCACTTAGCCCCTAAAGCTGACTCTCTGAATTTAGAACTTCTAGCCTCTTAAACTGTAAGAGAATAAATTCCTGTTTGTAAAGCCATCCACTTACAGTATTTCTACTATGGCACCAAGACACCCAGGCAATTTAATCAGGACAGTCATAGGATAAAAATATTTTCAGACATTCAAGGTCTCAAAAAATTTACCTCTGATTGATTTTTTTTTCCTCAGGAAGCTACTGGAGTATGTGTTCCACCCAAATGTAGGTGATAACATGTGTTAAAAGACATGGGACCCAGAAAACAAGGGATCCCAATAGAAGAGAAGTAAGAGGGACTGTCCAGATACTGACCCGGAATAGCTGCTTGTCAGCAGGACTGAAGGATGCTAGGACAGGGGGTCTCGTGCAGAGATGTGTCAGAAAAAAAGAAAAGCACTGATATATTACCAGACGTGGTGGACCATTTTTAGAAGGATTTCACAATTTTGTCAAATAAATTAGCAGAAAGTACCACGAAAACTAAGCTAGTGAAAAAGGCATCCAAATATTAACTCCAGGGGGAAAAAAAAATCATTCTTATAAGGTCCCTGAAAAGCTCTGGTGGCGTAGTACCTAAGGCATTTGACTGCTAACCAGAAGGCTGGCAGTTCAA